AAATTTACAATTCACTTTAACACTACAATAAAATGCATTTTTTCAAAGTTTGGATTATTGAAACAAACTTGAAAATTATCAACATATCCTAAAATGTGCAAAACTTGTATTCTACCTACATAGAATTATTGGAGGAAAGGAAGAAATTGAATTTTCAATCCTCTAGAAATGACTCTCAAGGGCTATCTGTATAAAATGTATATATTCAGGTATAATACTATGAAACTACAATAAGTCTTTACTATTATAATACTATGAAACTACAATAAGTCTTTACTATTCTAAGTAAAAATAAGCTTAAAAAATTAAATTGCTCAGTATTGCCCAGTATTACCCGTTTCTGGGAGTATTGCCCAGCCCGGGAAAACCCGTGTAATACTTTGCCAACCCTGCAAATGACCTCCAATTACCTGATGCAATAAAGCACTGACAAGATCAAGCGTAAATCTAAAAGGCGTTTAAATTTGTGTTACTGTGAAGCGCTGAGACGATTTTTTGAACCCGACTCTGATCAGGGCAAAATTTCCGAAAATTTAAGGTCGCCAGTTTTTCAATATTCTTATTGCCCAAATGGCGACCACTTATGAATTTTTGGTTGCCAAATCAGCTTATAAAGTCTCCCAGGCGACCATTTCAGCAGACTAAATTGAGGGCTGTACTGGTTTATCTTGGTCCCGAAATGTCTCCAATTAAACATAGAGCAGTATCTGACAAAGAACCAGTTTTAAATTATCAATCGCAAGTAAACATGTCAAATTAATATTTGTTTTTATCTTCTCTTCTTGTTTTTTGTTTATAACTTTGATCATCAAAGTTGGATTTAATTTATTTTCTTACTTGTCCTGAGGGACAAGCTTGATACGGCTTTTACTTGTCCGACCTTTTTTTCCTGTAGTACCGGACAATCAAACAAGCGTTATTGTGGAGACCTGAAAATGCTTTGTTTGAAGTGTTTCCAATTGTTTAAACATAACTCTTTGAAAATTTTTAGTCACAGTACATTGTTTAACCCTTTCGCCGACGAGTCCCAGTTCACCTGGATTCACGCTTCAGACAGTTGACGATAAGTCCCGTTTTACCGGGATTGGAATACATCTTTTACATTTGCCACTCAAAACGTTGCAGACACAAGTTATCTTTCTTTGTTTGAATACCTGGATGAAAGTGTAAACATGGCGCTTCCGTTTGTTGAAAACCGTGTCAAAATCAGATGAAATTTACGGAATTTACGATAATTTGGAAATAAGGGAACATTTTTTTTTTTTAAATATGGAAGAATTGAACTAGTATACATTTTTGACATAAAATGCCGTTTTATGTATAAAAACACTTGGAATGGTCATCGTTCAGTGAAAGGAATTTGTACAGCATCATTGAATTTTTCAAACTTTTGCCATTTTGGGTTAAAAAATTATGATTTTGGGTCAAAAGTTGAATTTTGAGAATTTTATTCAAATAATGCCGAAAATTTTCAAATTTTGAATTTGTTTGAAGAAAAACTTATCAAAACAGGAACAAAATTATGTACATTGTGTTAGTGAGTAAAAATAAAGACAAAAATAACAACAGACAAGCTTTTATTGATATTTGTTATGAAGATCTCCCACTTGAGTCATAGTAGCCAGGGAAGCCATCATCTCAGAGTAGCTTCTGTCAGGGCAGCTATCGGTGAAAGGGTTAAACAAGGTCCCAGATAGCTTCAACTGGTTTGAAAGAGTTGTATACTTTTAGAACTTTTCTGGATTGTATTGCAATAAGCCTAAATATAATAAGGTGTATTCATTGCCCTGTGTAACCTTGGTTCATTTAGGGGAAAAACATGTCATAGGACATTGTCACAGAGATGTTTGCTTTGTGAAATCAATTCTTTTTCGGGAAAAAACACCAATTGGAGGATCATGTATTGTTGAAGACTGTATGTTGCCCTGTAGATGTCTTTTGTAATTTTGTGTACTTTGGTTTTTTTTTTACATGTATCTGGTTATCAGGGGCAGATTCAGGTTCGGGGGTGGCAGGTGTGCCCCCCCCCCCCCCCCCCCCCCCATAAAATTTGCAAAGCATGGGTTGTCCTCAGCTAAATAAAGAATATTTCAATAATTTTACCTCAAAAATTTAAATTTGCACCTCCCTAACCTAAAATCCTGGATCCGCCCCTGGACATTAAGATTCATGTGGACCCTTTGGCTAAAATGGCTGCATTTTCACCTCAAACCTGAGTATCTGGAAAAAATTTAAGGCATAGCATGCTCTAGATAAATAAAATTCAAATACATTTTATCTTTTAGAAAATTAAAAACTTAACTGGATTTTGCAGTGCACTTTTTTTCATTCCTCCAGAACTTGCAGAAGGTGCCAAAATAAACAAAGTTGGGAAGGAGGTTTGAGAACTTCCCCACAGGTAATAATTGAAGTGAACTGTATTGATTGACATAGACAACAGAGGGACAATAGATACCTGACAATAATTGGTGATTTAAACTGAATACCTGAGTGGACCATATCAAGTGAAACTCAACATTTTAATTTTATCATCTTCTGCAGGGACGAAAAAAAGCGGTACCAAGATTTTCTGAGGACAGCAAGAACTAATTAATTTCCCAAGGACTGATTGATTTGTCCCAAAAACTTGATTTTACATGATGTTATACTTCTTAAAACAATATTAAAGTACTGTAAGTTCAGAAATTATTGCGATGTTTTTATTATTGCGAAAAATGCGACAGGGTAATAATCGCAACAATTTAAACTCGCATTTTGAAATTTTTTATAAGAATTAAAGAGGATTTTTCTCAATATCGCAAACATTAAAATCGCATTTTAGTCTAAAATAACAAAATCGCAATAATAAATGCACGCAATAATTTATGAATTTACAGTATACAATTTTAAGATATAAGTCATGTTTATATCATTCGATTTACTACATCTCGTCGGGCATTGTAAATTTCGGGATTGAGTCGGACACGAAATCTAGACAACAGTACTCCAGTATTTTGCTTTTAAGTCGAGTTATCTACCTTATGAATAATTACGTCCGCCATATTATTTTCAACAAGGAATTTGCATAAAAGACATGCAAATCGATTTCCTGAAGATAACTTGTACTTTTATTGAGTTTAAACGACTAAAACGTCTTAAACCTTAAAATTATATGCTGTTTTCCTAGTTTAAGCAGTATAACACAGGGATTAAACCTAACGGTCACCCAGTTGACCAGATTTTCGGCTGGGCGAATATTTTTATTATCCTGATCGCCCAGCTGGCGACCGAAAATATTTTGCATTGAATCCTATGTCTATCCTTTCCCCCACGATATAAACAAATACTGTTCCCAAACGGAAACCCAATTGTCTAATTAAAGCGGGAAAATGGAACGGAGGATTTCCGTAAACCAGTAAGGGCATTTTAATAACCAAAACCCAGTCGGACAACTAAGTTTTCGATGCGAATTCAGGATTTGACACATGTATACCCCTTCTCTAAACATGTTTTCTAATTTCTTTTTTAAAGCTTCTACAATTAATTCATTATTTTTAAGTGTTTTCGTTACGCTGTAGAATCTGAATTTTGTAGAGATACATCGCAGTTGTTGAGGGAGTCATTCCAAATCCGTTTTTGACAAAAACTTGTAAACACAACTTGTTCTTCAATGAAAAAACGAAATGCAAAATCTCATAAATAAATATAATAATATCTAGTATGCTAACCAATCTTCGATGAAAAGTAATTATATAATATTTTTGATCAACACTTATTAGAGGACAGTTGGATTTGAAATAACATTAATTAATGTTTTATGGAAACAGCTTAACTCGAATAATTCAGCGCCCTCTATCCACTACTTTTAATGGAGTGATCGTAGTGATCGTAATATAAGGACTGGATTATTCGGGTTAGGAAACAGCTATATTGTCAACAGGAAGTTCAAATTGAAGGGAGACAATTTTGGCGGGAAATGTTCTAAATTCAGTACTTTCAAATCTTATGATATATTTATGATGGCAATAATTCAAATATTATAAAGTTACCACACATAACCTTTACCAGACTCAAACATTACATATAGGATTACATAAAAAGGCTTTATTAGTATATTAAATGTACATTTAAGTTTTATTTTATTTGTATAAAAATTGGTTTGGCCCTAAAATTTCAACTGGGCCCCTGAAAAAAATATTTAGGGGGCCCAGCTGGCCCCTGGAGAAAAAGAGTTAAGTTTACTCCCTGTAACACCAAGTAAAATCAAAATTTTCGGGTGAAATCAATCAGTCCTTGGGAAATTAATTAGTTCTTGCTGTCCTCGGGAAATCGTGGTACTCGAAAAAAAAAGTGCACTGCGTAATCCAGTTAAGTTTTAAATTTTCTAAAACATAAAATTGAGAATGGAAATGGGGAATGTGTCAAAGAGACAACAACCCGACCACAGAACAGACAACAGCAGAAGGCCACCAACAGGTCTTCAATGCAGCGAGAAATTCCCGCACCCGGAGGCGTCCTTCAGCTGGCCCCTAAACAAATATATATACTAGTTCAGTGATAATGAACGCCATACTAAACTCCAAATTGTACACAAGAAACTAAAATTAAAAATAATACAAGACTAACAAAGGCTAGAGGCTCCTGACTTGGGACAGGCGCAAAAATGCGGCGGGGTTAAACATGTTTATGAGATCTCAACCCTCCCCCTATACCTCTAGCCAATGTAGAAAAGTAAACGCATAACAATACGCACATTAAAATTCAGTTCAAGAGAAGTCCGAGTGATACAATGCATTTGAATTTTATTTATCATGTTTATATAGCCATTTTATAGGGCATGCTATGCCTTAACACTTTTCCAGATGCACAGGTTTGTCTGCACTCGGAGTAAATTTTGAGATGATACGCAGCCATTTTAGCCATAGGGTCCACACGAACCTTAATGCTTCGCGATTTTTACATGGCTTCACTCCCCAATCAGGCCATTGTGTCTACCAGTACCATTACGACATTAGACCTACATAATACTAAATACAACACCGTTTCATGTCTTCAAATTTAAACTGTTTCTCTCTACCTGGACAGGGACTAGGTTGTTTTGCTGTGTAGTATACAATACTATCAAATATGTATTTTTCTCAATTACCCGCCATATATGTTTCAAAATGGCAAAACCTAAGGGGTTTCGAAAAAGTTATTTATTCGTAACACTCTTTTACGTGTTCCTGTTTAAAAATTACTGTTTTACCTTAGATAAAATACTGAAGATACCAGATATTCTACAATGAAGTTGTTTTACATCAACATTCATGATTGGTGGATTTTTGTCAATTGTCCAATGAATGTGTGTCTCTCTAAACATATGACACAGTCAATTTGTTCTAAGATATAAGTAACAGAAAGGATTATTTTACCACGAAGAACAGATTTCCTGGATAAAAAAGTGTCCGTGAATAGGTATTTTGGTCGTTTTTGTAGACAGTATCTATTCGAGATGAGAAAACTGCTGATGTCTTGTATGTCAGATTTGTAAGTCAAAAGGAAAGAACCTTTTCGTTTGGTTCATTCGACATTGTCATTGGGAAATTTCAATATATGTCGAAATGAATATAAGGCGAAGTGGGGTCAACATAGTCTTCTGTAAGACAGCAACACAATCTAGCATGAGCCAGAAAAGATATCTGACGATCAACAAAACATATATTCTTTCAATATACCAAAATGTCAAACTCCAGAGTTCTGGTTGTGGTCTAGTTGTTAAGATCGATGCCGATGGGTACATTGCTGAAGATCCTGGGTTCGATTCTGACTTAGGAGCTCTGGAAATTTCAGTACATCAGAAGGGTGATTTTCACCTAACCACACACATCTCTGGTACCCAGACTGGAGTTTAAACTGTAATGGGTACTTTGGGGGCCTCGGTTGGTAAAAGTTGATCTGTCTTTGACTTGGAGATCAATCTGCTGATATCTCTTTGGTTTGTCTGCTCATGCCAAGCAGCCTAGTGGTTCTCTCTGAGTACTTCAGCTTCCTCCACCGTAATAACAGACTTTTCCAAGTGTCCTTTCACTCCCCTTGTGTTGGGGTGAGGATTGACCTTGTAAATATGTTAGTGACCATGGTGACACATCTCCATTAATCCTGATAGGGAATGTACATGAATTCCACTGTACCCAGCTGGCAGCTCTCAAGGGGTGCTCACAATAATGGATGGATCTACGTACATACATGTACATACAAGGTGGTCAGAAGGTTTTGATTTTTTGATTTCTGATGAATAATGTTTCTTACCATAAAACAATTTTCATGACAATCATGACAATAAAGAATTATTATCTCCCACATTTGTGTCAAGAGAAATTTATTGATTGAATTTTAAATACCTAATTTTCAATTGATACACTTTTCTCTTCAAATGTCAATCTTGATAATTTTTCAGATGAATTAGATTTTGCTACACAGAGCTCCAGATAAGCTCTGTATTTGTGTGATTACGCAATATAAACAATTGAATACCCAATTCAATTGACAATTGCAGCTTTCAAAAACCAAATTCATGCAAAGGAAAACCCAATTACATGTATATGTCAAAACTATGCGTTCTAAACCCTACTTATCACTATTGTGTGTGTTATTGACCCGTATTGATAAATTGTTGTCACGTAAATCTATTTTTGTAATATTAGGAAATCAGAGTTAGGAAATCTATTATCCATTACTCAAAGCTGTATCCCCGGTAAACATAAGCCGGTTCATAAAATTTTCTTTGGCTGACCATGATTCTGAGAGGCAGAAAAAAGCACCGTTCGTAAATAAAGTCATATATCCTGTTGAACAATCGACAACAGACAGCTGTGCGGAAGCACAAAAGTACTCTTATCACACTATCAATTCTTAAATGGAGAAGGCGACAACTCCGAAGGAACCCAAGGCTAAAAAAACCGAGGGGTCTCATATACATTGTACATATTGCTCTGAAAGTTAGTCTACTGCAAGCCGCTGAGACAAGAAAAAAGTGTTATGGACCACAAAACTGGAGTAACAGTTAAAACAAACCAGACACAAATTAAACAAAAAAGTTGCTCGTCAGTGTTTAAACCAAATAAAACAGCTTTCACATACATACTTGAAAGAAACATATTTAAGATAAAGGGATGAACATCTTTGTTTGATATGATTACATTATGACATGCCTCAATTCAATATTAAGATGATGAAAAAACCCAATACATTCAGGAGCTTCTTGGTGAAAAACCCAATTTGATAATTGCTTGTGGGATTAATTGGAATTAATAATGCAATTGAAAATACTATTTTACTCAACTACATCATAATTGGTGGGTAAAAACCCAACTTGTGAATTATTATCTGGAGCTCTGGCTACATGTACGTTTCATCCACATTACCATAATTACCTGATTACCAGTTGGGTCTATCATGTCTATAGTCCATTCAGCCACACTAAAATATTTTTCTTAAAATGAATATACATCATTTGTACATGTATGCATTAGCTAGTTGTTTTGACAGAAGTTTAGTTTTAAAAGTAATATTGTTGAACAAAAAGTCATTTTGTCTTAAAGTGTGTGTTTGCTGTGAAACATGAGAATACTTTCTTACATGTATGCTACACTTGGTTAATGATAAAAACATTTCCTTTTGACTTCAGTGATTTTCATATTTTTGATAAAAGGTAAAAACTTACTCATTCTTGGTTGGATAAAAGAAAGTAGACTTATTTGAAAAAATCCATAATGGACATACATGTACATTTGTATCTGCATTATGGATTTTCATTGTAAAAATCAGTTTTTTTTAAAGAAAGATTTTGCATGTCTTAAAATGATCATGTGATAGGCTTATGCTAAATCCACACCTTACTTTACTCGAGTCTGTACTGTTCCGCCCATATCAATTGACCCACTTTTCAGTGTGATTCAATTAAATTGTCCCATAATCCAATGCACTATAATAGTTACGTTTATACACATTACCACCCCCTCTGTTTACACACGAAAATATGTACATCCCATGATATATACACGAAAGAAACGGGCGCAAGTCAATTGACCTGTTAAAGTTCATTGCTCCATTTCAGATAAACATTGTCCCTGATGAGCACTTTACAAAATGTATATTCCTTAAACTGATTGTTATTAATTAATTAATTAGTACTACCTCAACAGAGTCGACCACACCTGACTTAACTTAAAACATAGTCCTCTGGTGATACACTCCACTGTAAATATTTTGCTGCTTGACAGAAAATGAAATCCACGGCAGTCGATAATTAACTGTAAAGTGTTGATTTCAGAGCAAAATAATTCATCGTATAGTTGAGTTGATACAACATCTCTTATGAAGGTTTTTAAACTTTGTATAAAGTGGTTTCTAGCATTTTCTAATTTAGAACATCTCAATACAAAATGTAACCGGTTCTCTTCTTCAATTGACAATTCCACATAATGGACAGATTGCACTGACTTGTCGTTTACTAAATTTAGACTTGTCACACTGAGGAGTATATATATTACCGGTACACGCTAATTTGGATTTGATGCAGGCACGCAACCTAGAGTAAGGTTCAGATCCAAATAGGGTGAATGCTTCCAAATTCTGCATCATACCGTAAATGAGAGACATGGACACAAACGACTGCATTTAACCGGAATTTCACAGCTTTGAACGCTTCTTGACCTTTATCAGAGTTCTTGAAAAGTAGTGGTCTGAAGGTTTTAACCACCAAAATTTCAAACGACTGACACAACTTTGGTATTTTGCAATAGAATAATTGTGAGGACCAGCAGATTTTCTTCAAGGACCACTAGGGAAAAAAGATTTTGAGAACTCTGCCTTATTCAGGGCTCGACATACGGTTTATTCAACTGTCCAGGACAAGTGAAAATAGGTGGTGGACAAGTAGGATCAACATATTAGTTGGACGGGACAAGCGAAAAACCATCAAATTAAAACTAATCCCCTTATTTACTACAATTGTTTACATTATTTCCAGAGTGTTACATAACATAATTATCAATTTAGATACATTTACAATCATTATATAATTAATTGATTCCTTTAATAGAATAGAAAAGAAAGGATATGGGGTATCCATCCGTCACACTTAATCAGTATGTGCACAGCAAAAGACATGAAAAAGCAAAGGAACTGTGCTTTATTTGCTGATCTTCATCTCAAAGTCACAGCGAGGCCTTCAACACAGAGCAAAAAACTCTCACCTCAGTGCAAGTTTAAGGTGGCCCCTAGCACCTGTTTAAGCAGAATTCTTTACAAACTGATGATCACGCCACAACTGTGAATTGAAGAACACCGTGGAGTAATATCAATAAAATAAATCTGGTAAAGAAATCAAACATGTAGTGTCATAATTTAGCCTTACAATCACACTAAAATGTGCCCAAAAAAGTTGTTGTTGTTGAAAAGTGACAATTTTATTGCTGGAAAACATGTCTCTATTCAAGGTACCGGTAAACAAGTTTTGAATCCCTCAGGTTTTATCACATTAGCATTAGTCTATCATGTGATAATTTGCATCATCAATTTTCGTAGCCTGCGATCTCGGTTAACTGACATGAAGAGGAGGTTGGGCCAGGCTTCTAGTTTCGCTTCTTAGGGATTTAACAATAACTGAAGCATGCATGATACATGTACTTCTTTATCTGTTTGACTCAAAAAGTCATATGATTACTTATTAGAATATTGCAAACAATAAATTAATATGCATACATTTTTGTACTAAGCACCTACCATGCCTACTTCCTAAAACATGTAAAAGCATTAAGTTTGGACTTTATCAATAGATAAGGACAGCAGTTGATTTAAGATTTTGAAATTTGGATTCACCATGTTCACGCAAGTGAGTTTTAAAGTTGGACAAGTTGAATTGTTTTGCAATTTGCCCCGAATTGACAAGTTGAAAAAAAAGATACAGTACAAATATCAATATATTGGCCAATCTAACATGTATTTCTCATGAGCCTTTTTTAACTTTATTATACATTATGTTTTTTGTTCTGGGTTAATGGCTATACTGTTATTGTTCAAACAAAACAAAACTCAATACTCTATAAACTTGGCTAGGTATCTGTACATCCCAAATTGGAGTGGAGGGGGTATTAAGTGTTACCCTTGTACGTCTGTCCGTACTTATGAAACTTACACACAATGCTTATTACCACAAAACACAGATCAAGATTGAATTTGGGTGGCGTCACTTTTACCGTTCTAGAGTTATGTCCCTTTACAAATGGAAAAAATTCTGAATTTTCCGTTTCCGTTCTCTAACTTAAGTATGCCTCAACCAAATGTTATGGAACTTATACACAATGCTTATTACCACAAAAGTTTCCATTTATTTTCCATTTAATACAGAAATGTTTTCAGTTTCTTTTTAGTAATGACGTGATAAAAATATTTCATATTAACCAGAGATATGTATACATGTATATATGTCTCTGGTTTAACATAAAAAATTTCATCAAAATCGAACCTCAGAATAGTTTTTGACACTGTTTTTAAAAAAACATGTTTTCTTATGAAATAATAGGAAATTATGAATAGGTGGAACACTTTTGACCTTAGACTGTGTGGAACACTTTTGACCTTAGACTGTAGCATGTCTCAATGAAAAAAATATGTTCTGTTGTAGTTTGAATCTCTAGAAATTATTAAACAGTATAATGTAGCATCCTACTGACATTTTGTCATAAGTCAAACCCAAAAGATATCTAAATGTACAATAAATCAACATAGTCATTTGTTACCTTGTCAATCCCTGTTGAAACATGTGAAATAACAATAAATAAAATGTAAAATTTATATATCAAAAATCATGATAATCAGGCAGAGTTGGAAAAAAATTTGCACCCAGGCTACTACATGTAATAGTACATTTGATTTTTATATGACCGCAAAAAAAATTTGCGGTCATATATTGGTATGACGTTGGCGTCGTCGTTGTCCGAAGACACATTGGTTTTCGCACTCTTAACTGTAGTTTAAGTGAATAAATCTATATGAAATTTTACCATAAGGTTCAATACCACAAAAGGAAGGTTGGGATTGATTTTGGGGGTTATGGTACCAACAGTTAAGGAATTAGGGGCAAAAAACAAGCATTTTTATTGTAACTTCCAGACATAACTTGTGTGTTAGTGTATGGATCTCTCTGACATTGTACCACAAGGTTCCATATCACAAAGGGAAAGCTGGAATTGAGTTTGGGGGTAATTGCCCAAAACGTTTAGGAATAAGGGGCCAAAAATAAGCATTTTTCTAATTTCCAGACAATAACTTGTGTTAAAGTGTATGGATTTCTCTGAAATTGCACTGCAATGTACCATACCACAAAGGGAAGGCTGGGATTGATTTTGGGGGTAATTGCCTCAAAATTTTAGGAATTAGGGGCAAAAAACAAGCATTTTTCTAGTTTCAGGACAATAACTTGTGTGTAAGTGTATTGATCTTTATGACATTGTACTACAAGGTTCCATATCACAAAGGGAAAGCTGGGTTTGAGTTTGGGGGTAATTGCCTTGAACGTTTAGGAATTTGGGGCCAAAAAGGGGCCTAAAAACAAGCATTTTTCTAGTTTCCAGACAATAACTTGTGTTCAAGTGTATGGATCTCTTTGAAATTGTACTGCAAGGTACCATACCATAAAGGGAAGGCTGGGATTGAGTTTGGGGGTGATGAATCATAAGGGGGTTCAAAAAATTTGGGGGAGGGATTTTTTTTCCCTTTTTTTCCTTTTTTTTTCTTTAAAATTTTCCATTTTAAATTGGTTATTTCTGATTTATATATAAAAGCAAATAATAATGATATGGTTTGAATAGGTAAATTAAAAGTTTTTAAGTTCTTAGACCACATTCATTCTGTGTCAGAAACCTATGCTGTGTCAAATATTTAATCACAATCCAAATTCAGTGCTGTATCAAGCTTGAATGTTGTGTCCATACTTGCCCCAACTGTTCAGGGTTCGACCTCTGCGGTCGTATCAAGCTGTGCCCATTGGAGCATTTTATTTTCTCTGTCATCTTAGTCATAATTTATTTTCATACTTTTTTTTGTATTCAACAGTTCAAACAGACTGATGTAAGAGACAATGAACCATTCATGTTTAGTGAAAAGGTTGTAGAATATGAAGAGTTGGTGAAGTTTTGATTATTTGCATGGTAAGTGTTCTTGGTAAGTGTTCTTGCTCAAAATTTATAATGTGTAATTTTCATTTTACCAACTTTTTATTGCTATAAAACTTGTGTAACCAGAGAGCATAATTCTTTTTACAAAATCACATTGTCTCCTCTGGGACTCGTACCCTGGACCTCCGTGTTCATAGTTGGTGCTCTTACATTCAAATTCGAACAGCTTCCAAATTCCATCCTGCAAAACACAGTACAGAAAAGAATCCTATTTTCCAAGAACTATTACCGACTGGCATGGATGGAACAAACTACCGGACAACATTGTAAATTGCACTTCAGTAGACTCTTTCAAATCTTCAATTTCAAAGCATCAATATTAACTCAACTATTACATCATACTTAATTATACAAAGCATTTTTTATTTTTTTCGTATTTTTTAAAGATTGTATATATATCAATCTATGTCTTGTTGTAAGTTTCCTCCTGTGACATAATCTTCAATTTGTTGAAGGCGGTCACTATATGGTAGAAGTAGAAGTAGAAGTACCAACTGGGCTAAAGAAGTACTTCCCTAGCTCAACCACTTTTGGCTGGCTAAATATCTACTAATCAAGGGAAGCAATCCTGTCACACTTCCCCCATCTCAATAGTTATCATACCGTTATAGCTCTCACAACACATACCCTGGCTAGATATTATATATATATAATTAGCAATCATATCTTCTTATTTTTATAACATATAAAAAACTTTTAAAAAGTTTGAAGCTAATGCCGAAAGAAGAATTGTAACTGTAATTTTGTAAAAACAATGCAAGATGCCATGAAAATTTTCTGTTACATGATTCCTCCTTACCATGAAATCATAACATCTAAACTTTAAAAGTTTATTAAGATTGTTTCCCTGAACTTAAATTTTAGCAGTGGTGATAAATGGATGCTGATTTTATTTTCAGCTCAATATGGAGAAAGAGTCGAAGAAAGCAAAATCTCAGGAAAGTGAAAGAAGGAAGCGTAAAAGAACTGCTTCAAAGAAAGATGAAAAGAAAAGTAGAGGAAAGCAGAAAAAGATAGATGAATCTTCAGATACATGTATTTCCCAAGAAAACCAGCAAGATAAAGAGGGTGCATCACGACCAACATCACCTGAAAATTGTTCCATATGTCTGGGTGACTTACAAAACAAATCATTCACCGACAGTTGTTTTCATATGTTCTGCTTTGTTTGTTTGAAGGAATGGTCTAAAGTAAAGGCTGAATGTCCTCTCTGCAAGCAAAAGTTCAAGAATATCATTTACAATGTCAGTTCATATGAAAAGTTTGATCGTTACAATATTGAAGAAGAGGCTAATAAAAGTCGATGGGAAAGAGATGGAACAAGATTTAGGTATAGAACAACTTTGACCTTTGAACGTAGACTTACTATAGGTCCAGAACATAATTATACTCAACCAATTGCCAGGCCATCTAATGTTACCACAAGATCTCATTGGAGAAGACATCGAGAACCAGCAACATCAGAATTCCGTAGAAGAATCTACACTAATGGAATGCAAGCAGAAGAGGTAACTGATAGAAGACTTAGAGTAAGGGACACAACTCCTAATTTTTACAGACAAAACCCTGCAACAATGCATAGATTGGTTCCATGGTTAAATCGAGAACTTAATTCTCTACTTCAAAATCAGCCTGACCATGTACAGCTTGTTATAGAAATTATAATGGGACTTATTAAATCTCACTCAATTGACAGTGAAGAATTTTACCAACATGTGTATCCATATGTTGGACGACATACTCGCCACTTCATGCATGAGTTTTCATGTTTTGCCAAATCACCCTACAACATGATAGCCTATGATGCTCTAGTTGTTTACCAGCCAGGACCTGTTACATTGGATTCAGATAGCAATGATTCATCTGTTGACATTGATGATGAATATTTAGATGAAATCATTGATATTGAAGATGAAAATTCAAATCCTAGATCACCTCAGCTTGACAGAAGGGGAAACCATCCTTTAAGCAGTGTGTCAAACTTGTCACCATTGTTTAGGAGTGTCAGAGATATACTTGAGGCGGAATCACCTGCTAGTTCAATGACGCTTCCATTATCAGTGTCTGGTTGGGATTCCCCAACACCAGGACCATCATGGTTGTCCTTGGCAGCCGATCTGGAATTGCCAATATCTAATGCAACAGACAATATACCAGTTGAAGGAAATAGGGCATCTTCGCCGATTGACATAGCCTCTACTTCAGATTCCGATTCTGATTCTACTCAGTCAGCTGATAGTAATGGTAGTGACATTGTTTTCGTCAAAGTTGACAAACCATGGGAAGAAAGATCACCAATTATGTTGTCCTCCGATAGTTCTGATGTCGAAAGAAATCTTTTCTTAGATTTTGAGCATAAACATTATAATTTTAAAAAGAAAAAACTAAAGAAAGAGCATAAAAAGCACAAGGAACATAAAAAGGACAGTCAAGAAAATTCTAAAGATAGACATAAACACAAAAAACGGAAGAAGCACCACTCTTCAGATAAGTCTCATAGACATTCATCCAAACACAGGGATTCTTGTAGTTCAAGGTCATCCTCGAAACATGGGGAAAATGAACAATCAACATCTAAAACTAAGAATTCTGAAGTAAATTTGGATAAAAGTTCAGAGATAAACATGAATACAGAAAAACATCATCATAAAAAGCTTAAAAAACACAAAGATGAGGAACAAAGACACAAATCAAAATCTAGCAAAAAATTGAAATCTGTTATAGTTTTACCAACTGCAGGAAATAATGAAATTCAAAATGGCGTATATAGATCTTCTTCTGAAAGCTTGTTCCCGTCAGATTTTGCAATGATTAATCACACTTCTACTTTAAGCTCTCAATCTGTTTCACCATACAAGAAACATTCTTCTGGACACAAAAAGTCAAGCAAGTTAATTGATATAGTACCAAAGCTGTTGGATAAATTGAACACAGATTCTAGTAAATCAGAGGTGCAGAAGAGTCTGCCAGCTTCATCAGATCAAATGATAACATCGACTGTTACTTCATGTAAACCCAATAATTTGTTTGTGCCATTTCATATACAGACTAGTGATCAAAATGGCTTACAGAAAAGTAAACTTGAAGAGACAGAAACGGAATCGAAGAGCGCAACAAATATTACGAGAGAATCTGCTCCATATCACATAGAAGACAGTATTTTAAGTTTAGAAAACAGTAGACGTTGTTTGAAATGTGGACTTCTGTACATACCAGAACTTCTAGATAATTTTGACATCTGTTTTACATGTAAAAAGAAAAAAGTTTGTGAAACTGAAAGTAGGGGATTTTCTAATAGATTCAGTGAGCTGTTTCAGGATAACATATATGCTTCAACCCCTAGAAGTACAAATACAATAAAAAATGAAGGAAATGACAATCAGGATAACACTGACACTAAATCTTGTCAAGAATCCAGTGAGAACATTGTTATTCAGGAAGGGACTGAAAGTAGCTTGCGTCCAGTGTTGAATCAGGTAGATTTGACTTCTATTAATGGGCCTCTGTTAGACATTTCTGAATCTGAAAGTGATGATTGCGAACTAATTGTGACAAAAAGTGACTCGAACATTCACAAAAATGATTTAGAAAAACCTCTTTGTATAGACATTACAAAACAAATTCATGATGAAAATTTGAATCTGCAATCCACAGGTAGAACAGCTGATGCCACTATGAAATCCCTACTGCAGGACAACACTATGAGTGATCCGTCAAACATTGTTTACAATAATCCATCAAAGACTTCCCAGTCTGTTACCATGGCATCACAGAGTCCTTTATCATGGACTATAAGTAATTCACCAACCCCTTTCTCTGGTGATTGGCCTGGATACATGGCACCAAGTTCTAGTTTACATTCGTCACAGTCAACACTTCAACCAATCTTCCCATATTCAATACCTTCAATTTATTCATTCCCAAATGACATTTATGCTGGTCATAGACAGCCAATATACTCAAATAGTGATTTTATGTCTGGATATTCATCAAGGAATTGCAGTTCTTTTATCGATGATTTACATGCTGATAACTGTTCTCAGAAAAAGCCTATATTTATTGATTTAGATGATCACAAGGAAACCATCACAACTTCTGCTTTGCCTGTTTTTTCTTCTGAAAAAATCTGCTTGTCAGATTCTGAGGATTCAACCAGTGCAGACATAGAAAATGTATCTGCACGGACTAGTATAGCAAATAGCCAAAATATAACTTCAACCAAAAATGTATTAATATTGACTGATTCAGCAGGTGAAGATGTAAGTGATGATGAAACAGCATATGAAATGGATACTGACCAAGACAGCTGTGATACAAACAACTCATTGACAAATAAATCGGCAGCAAATTATGAGTGTAATTCTCAGTCGGAAAAATATGAATGTAGTGAAAACGTAATTAATGATGTGGACATGATGTCTACCTCTGAATGGCTGGAAGATGCTTTAAATAGGAAAGAAAATCAATCAAATACAAACACTGAAGAAAAGAAGGAGGATTATAACAGCGATAAATTACAAGGAGAAAAATTTGATGAAGAAAACGAACTTTCAACTTCCGACTTGGATTGTGAAATGTCAACGCAGGTTTCAGAAGTCCCTACAGCTCTAAATAAGAAACTTGAAGGTATGACAAAGTTTTCCTCATCAGTGCTGCAAGGAATTGAAAAGGACAATAGACTCACCTTTCACAATATATTATCTGAAGCAAAATGTGGAAATCCTAGTAAAGTCGACAATATGGAAAAGCAGGAGGAAAGTAAATTATTACAATCTAACCAATCAAAATATGATTCATCAGAGAGTAATATAGGCTCTTTACCAAACTGTCCAGAATATAACACTGATAATTTTTCCCAAAGTAATTCTTTGTTTGTGCAGAATTCAGAATACCAGATGGACAATTTAGTAAGTAATATGAATGGAAATTTGAATAGTATAGATGAATTTGAGATAGATTCATTATGTGCTAATAGTGCTTCTATGAATTCAAAGGATAACTTTAACAAATTCATGAACGAAAGTAGCAGTAAAAGAGGTGTGAGGAGTCCTACTTCTGTTACTATGGAAACAGATCCTGTTGAAAATATTGAAATGAATTATGATTCTTCTATGTCAAAACCATTTTCTCTTCAGCTGTTTCCTTTTGAAGCAATCTCGGGAAGTTATGTGTCAGACAGTATAACACAAGGGACAGCAGTTATCTCCCCTGAGATAAATAACCAATTATCTTCTGCTGATGGTGAACGAAGATCAGACAATGATAAGAGTGAAGAAAATGGACAAGAAAATATGGATAACGATGATCAATTAACAATCGATGATGACCATCAAGATACCACAAATGACACTGAAAATTTGATTGGTTCAAATTTGACAGAATTTTCTTCTGAATCTGATAGGGAAAATGATTTCACCAATGGTTCTGATGACAGTAGCAGTAGTAAAACAGTCAAATTTAGAGTTGATATATTACATTCTGAAAGGGATTTGTCTGATAATTTTGCCAATATATTTGAAAGTAGTGATAGTAATTAAATATCATTGTGTTATCCAGCAAATGTATTGATTCTAAATATCTCAATTTCAAATAAACAAAACTATAGAAAAGTAATAATGATATTACTTATGATGGCATGAATTATAGTTTTGTACTGTGTACAATATGTTGTTTATTTTTTCCTTTTTTTGATTGTACAAATAAACATAATCAAAATGAAGTACAGTGTCATGAGTGTAATATTTTTCAATCGTTAAAATATTAATTTTAATTTATGCTATGGATTTTGAAAGCCAATTTAAAAAAAAATGAAATTTTTTTTGCAGTAGTGTATTTCACATTAGTCATTCATTATTAGGAAAAAAATGGTATATACCGGTATGTAACATGCGTAAATTGAGTTTTAAAAGTTAACATTAAAAAAAAAATGTCTGGTCAGAGTACAAAATCATGTTTTACTTTTCTTTAAATTTCTTTTCTTTCTATGTCTTTTGCTGTTTTTTTTCCATAGAAGAAGGTAGTTTTCTATTATTTCTTCTCATGTGCGATAAAAAAAAGTCGAGATTTATCAAAATTTTGATATTTTACTCAATTTTCTGTTGTTTTTAAGGCCATAACAAATGCATTCTACATTCAATTTTCATGTTAATTATGAATTATGTTAAAGCTTTGTTATTTCACAATTAGCAAAAATGATTAGTCTCTAATTAGTACAAATGTAAACACACTTTGTTGTAATTTGAAGAAAAAAAAATATGATCAAGAGGATTATCTCTCTTTCCCAATAAAAATTCCATAAAAAATATTTCTGTTTTTTTCCAGACATGAACAAAACAAGCATTAAAAACCAAAGTTACATACCTAAATATATTTTGTGTATAACATTTAGTGTAAGAGTTATTAATGGTATATATATTTTTTATTTAAAAGGGCATGTAATGAACAGAAATGTTAGAGATATATTTTTATCTATTTTAATTTGATTTTATTATTTGCAAGTTTGTGTTTTTTTGTTAGATTATTTGATGGAAGTTAGTTAGCATGTGTTAAACAGATTGCATTAATTGTACTTACACAATGTATATACATATTTGAATATACAAATGTTTCAATTTTTTATTACTCGCTTCCAACAGTAATTTTTAAAAGCAAGAATTTCAATTTTAATTTGATAACAAGTTTTTATCCTTTCTTCGATTGATTCGGTTACTGCAACAAGGAACAGTCACTAGATATTAATTCTATTTCCATATCAGAACAATTTATTATTTCAAACTTTTAAAATATCCGGAGTAAGATCTATGGTATTATTTGATATATGCAGTGCTTTTCTTAAGATACAAAATGAAGAGTTTTTTTTACAAGTCAGTTAAAGGGGATTTCCCACTTATTTAATTAATGCATTTAGCTCTTTATTGAAGACAAAAAGCAAAACATGAATGGAAGGAAGGGAAATAACTCTTATTAGATATGTTAGATTATAATCAGATTTATATGAATACAGAAATGACTTTAAGAAAATAGTTATTCTTATTTGTTAATTTTAAATGAAGTTGAATATATTTTATGTAAGTATTATTCGGGGTACTACAAATTTATTAGACTTCATTAACATGAATTTAGCTCATAAATGAAGTTAGTAAGAATTACAGAGTTCTGTATTGTAACATGTTATTTTCCTATAAACGTTTATTTATATATATCTATATTTTTCTACTGTACATTTTTTCACCCTTTTAAATCCAAAAATAGGAAAGATTGTTTTACCTCTTCTAAGTAAAAAAAATTTTGGACATATTGAACATCATTTTTCTGTAGCACTTTAAAATACATTTATAATAAACGATTGCTTTAAATAATGATTTGGTCACTCTGTTTCTGATAAGGCTTGATTAACCATTTCTTACATTATACATGAACTAGTTCAGCATTTTACAACAGTTTGAGTTTTTTGTCTGCATACTCATTCCTGTCCCTACATTACTTAATCAGTAATATTTTTTATCTTCCAAAATGGTGCTTTTTCTGTACTATTCAATGGAAGGAATTCAAAAAAGGGCATTTTCGTTATCAATGAAAACAATCAGATTGTACAACAAATGAACTTAATCACTGAAATAAACTTTATATATAACTGTGAATTGCTTAAGAGCCAAAATATTTTGTTTAATTCAGTTCATATTATTATTTGTAAGATAGATCATATTTATTGATTAATGTAATTTGTCATTTACCTTTATCAGATATTGGTTTTAATTTATGCTGTTTTATTTGATTCACAATGAATTTAATCATTAGAATTATTTATTATGTACTTAGTAGTAAATACATGTAAATTGTATGTGTAATAAGATCAATTGCAATCGTGCTGTATCAGCCATCCTTAACAATATCAATATCAGTCACGGTTGCAAAGGCTTTATCACACCCTTAATCTGTATAACGTCACATCATCGACATCAGTCACTGTTTTAAAGGCTTTATCAAACCCCTAATCTGTATAATGTCATGTCACATGAAAAAACATCTACTTTAGGTATATGATAAAGTGTATATGATATGGCTTTTTCAATATCACACACCGTATCAACCCTCTATCAATATAATCCCTCGAGCAGAGCTCTTGGGATTATATTGATGTCTCGGGTTGATACGGATGTGATATTGAAAAAGCCATATAATATTCTCTATGTATTATATGTGTGGTAGGACAATTCCTGGAAGTTAGAACTTATAGTTTAAATTGTATGTCATAAGGATTAAAACATTCAGATCTAGAAAATATTGAAATAATATTGTTTTTATTCTATGATATGTTATATTTGTTACTCTAAATAAAAACAAAATAGCAGAGTATATAAAAAATGGGGAGAAGGATCTTGTAAAATTGAAAGATTGTGGTAATATCATAGACAGTTCACAATTAAATATGGTTTTGCAATTAGTGTAGTAATATATGAGCTGTGTTGGATAGAAATCGACCTTATGCAAATGAATATCAATACATCTGTTAACCTATTTTGGTTTGTTAAAAGAGCCCTACAAAACAAACCAAAATTCATCTTTTATTTCGTATTTGAATGTTCCAAAATCAATCAAAGTCTTATACATGTACATGTATACATGCACTTGCATAAGGTTCATTTCTATCTGATGCAGCTCATATCTATGCCACAATCTAAGGGAAATAAATTCTGTTTATGCATCCATATTCCATAATCATGTGAAATTCATATTTCTGGCAACTTTTGAAATTTAATTATGAAAATAAGTTTAAACAAGAATGTAGGGAATCTTTCAAAGTTATTTTATTAAAATCAATTATGATATTTTACTGCTATATGGAACTTTTGTAATCGGCTTTTCTTAATTTTACAGTTTCATCAAGTCTATTAACTTCATCCTGTCAACCCCTTATGTCCCCATATTATTTAGGTCAACCTATTGGTGTGGTTTTTGTCTCGCCTAAGACGAAAGTCACAGTATGTGAGACATACATGTAGGTATTACAATCTGGCGGCATAAACAATTTGTATAAGGCTTTATATTTTAGAAGCTAGAAGACCTGGATGCTTGTATTCAGATACCTTTTGTTACAAAGTTTTCGTCTGTCATATGTCCATTGTCCTTGACCTCATTTTCATGGTTCAGTGACTGCTTGAAAAAGTGAAATACTCTCTTATTCATCTTCGCTAGCCAAGGGTTACAATCCACTCCCCTCCTCTCCACCCTTGGCAGATTGAGCCAACATTTGTGATAACAATGTTGCGCCGTCTATCGGTAAAAACTGTTGATTAAAGTCACGCCCATTCCGAATAAATTATTCTTGACCAATGGTAGCACTTGAACCCTCTTCAGTGTGGAGGTGAAAACACGGTAGCGCCTAGAGTCTACAAACTTGGTGAAGCAGGAAACGAAAATATATCCTGACATTCCAACATTTGTGCATGAAACATACACAGGAACTTCTAATAGTTGAATAAAAAACATTTAAGTTGTCACAAAATATCGTCGTATGTTTAGGGATGTAAAGACTTGTTGCACAATCAGCAAGTGGTAATTTTTTACTTACATTTTCTACATTTACACATGATCATGTTATAGGTGCTTTTTGATTGGATGCAGCCAGTTACGACTGCAACCAATGAAAATCATTACCTTGTGTCTCAGAAATTCTATCTCAATCCGCCAAAGGTGGAGAGGAGGGGAGTGGATTGTAACCCTTGGCTAGCGAAGATGTCTTTTATTATGAGTAATAGGAAAACTATATTTGGTACTGTGGATTTATTTATTTTCGTGGGTATTAATTGTCGTGGATTGAGGAAAACTTGCATTTTTGTGGATGTTTGATTTCGTGGTTTTGCCTATGTCTGCATACAAAGCCTATAGAAAATTTGTAATTCGTTGAACATATAAATTTGTAGTTCTCCTGTACCCACGAAACTCACGAAAATTGGTATCAAACGAATAATAATGAATCCACAGTATATGGGTTCCTTGCAAGGTCTACATGTCTTGTAAGTTAGGGTTTATATGCCCTCAACCTCATTTCATGGATCAGTGATCAAGGTTAAAGTTACTTCTTTAGAAGTCTGTATCTCGGATACTGTAAGCAGTATGTCAACTATAATTGGTGTATGGAATGATTGTAAGGTGTACATGTCCGACTGGCTGGTTTCGTCTAATCTTGACCTCATTTTCATGGTTCATTGAACAAAATGTTTAGTTTTTGTGGTTTGGTCTATTTCTCAAATACTATAAGCAATAGCTCAATTATATTTGGTTTATAGAATAATTGTTAGGTGTACAAGTCTGTCTAAGCAGGTTTAATATGACTTTTCATGGTTCATTGGTCAATAATATGTTTAACCGGATTTTCGAAGGAAATATTGGTTATTGATTTGGGGATGTACGGCAGGCGGGTGGACTTTCGGGCGGCTGCCAAACAGTGTCTGTTCAATAACATGAAAACGCTTTGATGAAATTTTTTCAAATTTAGATATGTTGTTTCCTGGGACTAAATGAAGGTCAAGTTTAATTTTCATGATTTTAGCTTTTCTCCTTGTTGAGTTATAGCCCTTTTAAATATCCAAAAGTGGTATTTATAATTTGATTGAGTTATTCCTCTTTGTACAGAAATGGTTAATTATATATTTAAAGTCTGATTACACTAATATTTTTAATTAATTTTCTCCTGTTATCAGATTATGACAAAGCATGTGGTTAATGTCTTATCTCAGAATTATAATTGGAGTGACATTTTTATTTGAAAATTTTCTGTTTCCTAAGTGCTGATGATTATAAGCTATATTTTTAGACATTTTGAAGATCATTACAGATAAGTTTTAAAGATTTTTAAAAGACATTGTATTTTTGATAAATAAAATTTTGAATTTTTATATGACCGCAAACAAAATTTTGGGGTTGTATATTGCTATCATGTCGTCATTGGCGTCGTCGTCTGAAGACATTTGGTTTCCAGACAATAACTTAAGTTTAAGTGTTTGGATCTCTATGAAATTTTACCAAAAGTTTCAATACCACAAAAGGAAGGTTGGGATTGTTTTTGGGGGTAATGGTCCCAACCATTCAGGAATGAGGGGTCCAAAACAAGCATTTTTCTAGTTTCAAGACAATAACTTGTGTATTAGTATTTTGATTGCTCTAAAATTGTACCACAAGATTCAATACCACGATTTGAAGGTGAGGATTCATGTTCGGGGTAATTGCCTAAACTGTTCAGGAATAAGGGGCCAAAAAGGGTTTAAAACAAGCATTTTTCTAGTTTTCAGACAATAACTTGTATTTAAGTGTATTGATGTCTCTTAAATTGTACCACATTTTATAAAAAGAAAATTTTCTTCAAATGTTTTTTTTTTTTAAAAGGGGGGGGGGGGGGGGGGGGGACAATTTTTTATCCTCAAGATTTAAGAAATTAAAAAGAAAATTTCTGCAAAAAGTTTTTTGGAAAAGGGTGGGGGAGGGGGGGGGGTTGGGGGTGGTAAACAAATTTTTGTTTTGGGGGGGGTCAATTTTATTTCTTCAAGATTTAAGATATTGTCAGTTTTCCAAAGAAAAATTGGGGGTCACAGTTGCTAATTCTTTCTATATAGTCTGAAAACATATTTACTTAGTATTGCACAACAGCAGAAGTCTTCAATTGAATATAAATTCAAATCATATATCCAATTTTAAGTTCTTTGACTACATTTATTCTATGTCAGAAACCTATAATGTGTCAAATATTTAATTACAATCCAAATTCAGACCTGTATCAAGCTTGAATATTCTGTCCATTTTTGCCCCAACTGTTCAGGGTTGGACCTCTGCAGTTGTATCCAGCTGCGCTCGGCGAAGCAGTTTATTTTTTTTTTCTTTGGTAAATTGGAATGAAGAATTTTGTGGTAAGTTTGTTTGTTTTTCTGTAAAAACTAATTTTTTTAATGGTATATATATTTTTTTTTAATGAAGTGAACTCCTTTAAAAGCTAAACCTATATTGTCTATTAATAAATATATTTAGATTTCTGATTTTGGGCCCAGTTTTCAAGTTGGTCAAAATCAGGGTCCAAAATTAAACTGTGTTTGATTTCAACATAAATTGAATATAAATATGGTTCTTTGAAATGCTGAATCTAAACCTGTATTTATTTTCATTATTAATAAGATAATACCACATTGAGGTCCAACATGTCCAAAGGGTCCTAAATTCAACTTTTGTTTAATTTCATGAAAAATTGAATTCTTGGGTTCTTTGATATGCTGATTCTAACAATGTTTGAGTGTTAAATCATATCTAATTTTAGAGAACTTAGTCATCACTGGTTGTTGTTATTATATTATTGATTATAATTTGAAAAATTACATCATATCTAATTTTAGAGAACTATTTATCCAGTTTGAGTTATTTCAACATAAAATAAATATATATAGGGTTCTTTCAAATACTGAATCTGAACCTGTATTTAAATATTAGATTTTTGGGCCCAGTTTTCATGTTGGTCCAAATCAGGGTCCAAAATTAAACTTTGTTTGATTCAACAAACATTGAAATTATGGGGTTCTTTGAAATGCTGATTCTTACCATGTATTGAGAGATTTTGGATTGTGGGCTCCTTTATCAAATTGGTCCACATTGAGGTCCAAAGGGTCCTAAATTAAACTTTTGTTTTATTTGATCAAAAATTGAATTCTTGGGGTTCTTTGATATGCTGATTCTAACAATGTACTTAGATTTTGGATATTGGACCATAATAGGTAAATGTCCAATTTCAAATTTTTCAGTTCTTTGACCACATTCATTTAGTGTCACAAACCTATGCTGTGTCAAATATTCAATTACAATCCAAATTCAGAGCTGTTTTCAGCTAAAATGTGTCAATACTTGCTCAACTGTTCAGGGTTCGACCTCTGCAGGAAAATCCGGTTTGCTGTCACTTGACAGCCTCTTGTTTTGTGGTTATGTTAGTTTATAAGTTACTACAAACAATATGTCAACTATATTTGGTTCTAGGAAATGATTGTAAGGCGTACATGTCTGTCTGGCAGGGTTGATATATCCTTGACCTTATTTTCATGGTTCATTGGTTAATTTTAAGATTTTCAGGTTTGATCTGTTTCTCAGGTACTATTAAAGATAGGACCGCTATATTTGGTCTATGGAATGATTGTTAGGTGTACATGTCTTTCTGGTATGGTTCATTGGATCAGACTTCATTTTCATGGATCATTGATAAAGTTAAGTTTATGTGATACTTGTAGTAATACCTTCATATTACAGACTTTCTACATGAATTCAATTATAAGTGAAACAGGTTAGACATTTTAGTGTGTGTACTCTTGTTATACCTTTCCTTTATAGATCTTTATACCTGTCTTTAGCATGACACATCAGATGATTTAATTTTTGACATGAACAAATATCAGTTTTTATTTCAGAATCATTCGTTTTCAAAAGTATGATTGGGCAATCAGATTTCAAATATATAAAGCAACAAACATTCCATGCAAGATATATATATGGTGTGAATGATATATAAATGTAATTAGCCAAACTACAGACATTTTTATTCTAAATTCTGTTTGTATGAATGAACATAAGGTTTAATTGATAAATTCAGTAAATAGGTTTATTATTGATCACATTATTTTAGTATTAAGATATCTGTTGTAATAAAATGTAATGTATTTTTTCTTTGACATCAAATGACTGTTCAAGGGAAAGATATTTAAAATGTAAGAAGAAGTCTTTAAAAAGTCTTCCATTATTTAGATTATAATTTGTGTTAAATAATAATTTCTGTTTTTACATTGATTTGTGACATATCTATTGATTTATGTTATGTTGTAATTGTAATATACTTGTTACAATCATTGTTGTTATTTATTTCATGCTTATAAAGTCATAGATAATTTCTATAGTGCTTAGTATAAAAGCAGATACATTTTTTTAAAATTAAATCTTTCCCATATGTCATTGGTGTTTTAATTTACTCTAGCCAGGAAAACTAAACATGAAGCTTTATATTTAAGATGACTTGGATTAATCTATATCATGTATACAGGTTTCTGATGATCTTTTTAGATCAGTTTCTTAGATACTAGAAGAAATAGGTCAACTATATTTGGTGTATAACAATTGTAAGGCTGCAAGTCCATCTGATAGGGTTGATCTGATCTTGATCCTGTTTTCATAAATCATTATGGATTGTCAACATTAGCTCAGTCATTGTCAGAAAAACAGGGAAGATATTGTCTTTGTATTCTTGTTTCTTATTTATTTTAAAGTAGCAAAAAATGAAAATTGGTCCTAGTTATGATCATAGCTCCTACTTTCATGTTCAACCTATTGACATGAATGACATCACTATAAATACATTTTGGTAAAAGTCACTTCATGATAGTTATTAATTAAAAGAGATGTATGGCAGTGAGAGAGCAACCAAACAACACAAGCATAGAAGAAATCTGGATGTTACAGTACATATAGCATTCACAAAGACAGTTGTCTTTACAATATGACAAAAGTCTAAATTGCCCAAGTTTAAAAAAGTTATGAATAAATCAAACTGTCTATCATAGAACTGCCATCAACAACAAATATTTTAAGCAAGAAATAAAACCATTACATATGAAATAAGACAACCACTGATGAAGTTTCTGGATTTGGACAGGCTTATTTTAGCCTGGGAATCAAGATTATTTGTTATTTGCAATTGGCTTTGAACTTGCTATCAGTAACTGCAATGAGTCGTTTATTGGTACTTTGTGTCTTTAGTCTTTTTGTTAGTTGTTTATGTGCTTTGCATGGATCTGATTAGTCGATCCTTTTTTAAACTGATTTATATAGTTTATTCTTATATTGTGTCTGTGACACCACCTTCCCAGGTTGGGGGTGGGTTGAGTGCCTGCAAACATGTGTCACCCTGCAACATTTTGTGTGTGCCAGTCCTTAGTCAGGAGCCTGTAATTCAGTGGTAGTCATTGATTGCTGTCTATCTTATTTTTTTTGGGGGGGGGGGGGGGGGTAAAGATTGCATTACTGCAATCAAACCCTTTATGGGACTGGCTTGAGAGCTAGTTTTTTCAGACCTCTTTTTGATAAAACCAAACAAACAGTGCTTTGTTTGGGAAATTCTTTACTGCATTTCATCAATGTAATTTTTGTCAAAATGATCTGTATGTGTATTACCAAATTGCATAGTGAATCTGTCTATTCAAAAAAAAAAGTAATTAAAGATCATATACCTAGTAAATAAAGTTGAACAACAACTAATTTTACTTGTATATTTTAGCTTATAAAAAATAAACTATACTTCTTTTCATAACAATAAAATTATAATAAAGAAATTAAACCATAAGGCACAATTTATAGTAAAAAACTTGATTAAAAAGATATCAACTTTAGAAATGTTTAATTCAAACTTTTTTTATTTAAAATATATTTTGCTTACCTTTTTTTAATTCATTAGATTAAAATTGGAGTTATCTTCCTTAGTTCATAATTGTATTTGAACGTACATGTACGAAATTATCATCCAGTTCAAAATATTGTCTTCCATTGCTAATTCACTGCAATGTTTAACTTTAAGTTCCCGCTGCAAAATGAAAGCAATCTTTAACCTCCAGTGCTCACAAGTACTTTGATTCGTTTATTGTTTTGTACAAAAAATAATGCTGTTTGATTTCTAGTTTGAATTGTTCTATATTTTGTCATATCGGGGCCTTTTATAGTTTACTACTTAATATACGGTATATGGGTTTTGCTCATTGTTGAAGGCTGTACAGTGACCTTCACTTGTTCACACCTCCGTCATTTGGTCTCTGGTGGAGAGTTGTCTCATTGAAAATCATACCACATCTTATTTTTATAATATGGACATGAGACTGGGTTAAACTATGTTTTTGTATCGCAGTCTTCCCATGTTTTAGAAGATCTTTATTGGCCCTTTAGTTTCGTTGCTGTCAATGATTTACAACTTTTTTTGTTCATAATATTCCCTTATAAACTTTTCATAAATTAATTTTATCCTCATATATAAAAACCGTCTTATATATCTCTCTTTGATTTTGTTATTCTGGACTATTTACAGTGAATATATCGTCTATAAATCTGCAGATAATTTTTGAAACTTTCTTTCATGAGTTAGTGGTGTCATGTTTAATCCTACCATCCTTTTTACTGGTAAGTTGATTGCATTATGACTTCAATGTCTTGACAAGGAATCATCATGGCATAATGGTTCAATAGAAAAAAAAACTATCATTAATTCATGCTGGGACTATTATACCATAGATGTATTATACATCTATGATTATACTATATTAGTATATCGCTGTCTCGTCCCCAACTAAGCGAGTCACTGTCGTGTCACTGACCAGGTGACGTCGACGTAGGCGTAAGCAATATTTGTGCTACAGTTAATACCGATGTCAAGGTCGTAATCTACACCCCCTAGATTTAGGTCACCTTAAGCGGTACTACTGAAATTCTAGCCAATGATATTTGTAATGCATTCGTATGAGATCACTACATCTGATCATGTTATAGGGAGAATATTTTACCAAACTTCCCAGTCATGGTCCATTGCTTTGAAATTTTCTCATACTTAACATTTTAAAAGTTTTTGATTAGTTTTGTTTAGTTCAATATAAATGTATATAGACACACACATTTCCCCGATGACTATGGCCGGGTCATCGTCAGTCTATATAATATCGGTTATTGTGGTGAAATATATTAGATACTAATCGTTCAATAATTGGGGGATTCAAATAGAGATTCGATCTCTGATTTATAGATGCCAATTAGATGATATAAACAGATATGTGACACACAATTAACAGCAAAATTTAACTTGTCTATCAAATCTTATAATTACCCTTAAATCACCGCATTTTCGAACAGTAGGCCATTTACGGTCTGTTCTTCGTATTGTTTATTACCTAAAATGTCCGGAATTAGAAATTTGACCAAGAAAAGTTTCTTATTTCTAGATCTTCTATACAAACCACAAGACCACGATAATGTCACGAACAAATCGCAGTCACTATCAACTGACCCACAGCCAACATTTTCTACAATTGGATTGTCTCTTGGTGTATTTGGGAACTTACTCGCCTTGATTATTTTAGTGAAATCAGCACACATACATAAATGGAAAGTGTTTTACAAGATGATAACGACATTATCCATAGTAGACCTAACAGGAATATTGATGTTATCACCGATTGTAATAGCTGTTTATACAAATGATATGAATTGGGTTGGCGGGAAAGGACTTTGTCATTTCTTCTCGTTCATGTTGATATTCAGTAGTATGTGCACTTGTTTGATTATAGCAGCGATGGCGCTGGATAGATACGTTGCTATTGTTCATCCAATTAAGTACAGAACAATACCGAAAGATAGACTAGTCAAATTTATTATTGCGGGAATTCTGCTTTTCTCAGCGTTTGTTTCGTGTTTTCCTATTATGGGAATCGGTCATAATGTCGTTCATTTTCCGGGTAGTTGGTGTTTCCCAAATTTTTACGACAGATTTATTGATTGTGCAATATTTTCTTACTTTTATTCGTTCCTCATATTACTGCTTGTGATCATGACAGCTACTCTGAATATTTGGGCTTTAGCAAAATTGATTGTTGGAAAACGAAGCAATGTCCGAAGAGGCAGTAATACTTCAAGGGCCAAACGACATATTGATGTGTATATTATGATTCTGCTAATTGTTATTTTTGTAGTGTTTGCTGTTTGCTGGTCACCATTTGTGGTAAGTTGATAGAAGGTTTTTTTATCCTTATTATGTAAAGTGTATCAATTTCTGTGCGATTAAGGTAATCACAGGTATACTGACGTTGCGCATGATGTTACTAGTGAGCAATCTCTGCGTAGCATCACTACCGGATATATGTACACCCGAAACGGTGGATAAACAAATGTGAAGTCGGGTTAGGTCAAATTTTTCTTGTTATATTTTACGTTTTGTTGACAAGTAAAGTTTTGTGATACTGATTCCTAATATATAACTACTATTTAGGGCCGAAGATGATCCTTAATTGACTTAAAATCGTCAGAATCTGACTGGGTGGTACCTGTTCAAAGAAGCATATGACGAGTTTAAACACATTTATCCTTCAACTATTCATTTGACGTATTCATAGAACAAAGTTATATCATATTTAAAAGTTTGAACAACACTGTATTCGACATAAACTATTGTTTTCAGAGAAATTCATGTAAATAAAGCAGATAAATTATACGGCGAATAGTTTTTTTAACTGCACGTGGAATAGAGTAGATACTTTTTGCTATCATTATATCTTTGCTTTGTGGGTACCTAATTTATATTTGATAAGCTTAAGTAATATAATAAATTTGTTGACCTGGTTTCAGTTTGTCGAAATAACGCACAGTTTTCACCAATGACACTTAAAGTGGTCTAATTTGTCTTTATAATAAGTATTCATTCATAGAAATTGTCATCCATTCAGTTTCATAATGAACAATTTTCCTTTTGCCACCAGTTTGCATACCTCATATTGATTTCTAAATATACACAGCTTTTTAAATATAAATAAGATATTGAATTAACAAATTATTTTTCGTAGTTTTTGTATATATATACTTCTTTCATAGTATCTCTTTTAGTTTTCTCTCATTTCTTTTGTTTATCATTTGCGAAGCTTTCTTTGTCACTTTTAGGCTAGTAAAATATTTGGGATTCATGTTTTTTTCACATTTCCGTGTTTTTGAGGCATTAAGCATGTCTTTTTTTTTGGTTATTATTTAGCAGTGGGTTTCTCTTTTTTCAATTAACGATAATAATAACTTTAATAATTTAAATGAAGAAGAAAAAAATCATTATTTACTAAATCCATCAACGCCTTTACAAACAAATAAGTTAGGATCCTTCTTGAAAAAGTCATTAGAACTGAGGGCAGGGGACTCTTAAAAACTTGTTTGTTTTTATAAATTTTGATGCTGTTTTAATTGTGTTTGTTTGATATGTATGTATATATGTTTATTGTGTTAATACATGTTGGTCACAAACTGTAAAGTTTATAAGACAATAAAATATTTGATTTGATTTGATTTGATTTGATAATATTATACTTTTTCTTTCGAGGCGTTGAAACCTGTAGATAGACGACGTTCCTTAAGTAAAACAAAATATACTAAAAAATATGATCCCGATATTTTTTTAAATCTCATTTGATTAACATTTAATTCTATATCAAAATTCTATCATACGTTGTTATATTATAATTATATTTTATACTTTTATTCAAATTAAACTGGAAATTATATTATAATGTAAATTTTAATACACGAGCATGACATCAATTACATTTTGCGGCCGGCTATACTTTTTGATATGATCTAAAAATCTTGTTTCCTAACAACAAACGTTACAAGTTATTTAGTTTGAAATAGAAAAAAAACTTAAGTACTTTTACTGCCATTTCTTTTCCTTCTGTGATCTCACCATGTTAATATTTGAAATACAGCCGGTCAAAACCTCAATTGTAATTAAAACTATTTTTCCCGTTGCGACAAGACGGCTATTCTTTTTGAAGTCATTGCAGTTGTGGTTATGCTCATGTTTCCTGCAAGGAAATATTATGAACCAGGAAAAAAGCAAATGTACTCTTTATATATTCTTACAAAATACGATATGAAAGACACAAAACTCTGATCTTTTGCACAAAATGAAACGTTCCACATAATGTTTATTGCGGAAAAAGGGTAAAAAAGTGTTATAATTTTTGGTATTTTAAATTTTAAATTTTGATTTTGATTTTTCTTTATTCTCAAGCCTATTAAACCCATTTCAACCAAAATCGCTATATTTTTATGGAGCTGACCAGTCAATGCATTGAATTTTATGATAATCTATAGCAAAATGGAATTCGTACCATCATCGTGCGCAACGTCAATATATATAGGCGATTGACAGAGTTTCGATCTCCTTGACATTCTTTGACCCAGCAACAGACGGACGGCCTACGAACATACATAAAGTATTACGTTGTGTGCACTCTTTAGAGAAGTTGAAATGATACTTGGTATATGTGCAGTTTGTTTGTTAATTTTCGAGACAGAATATAAAAATGTTATGGGTTTCTGCTTTTGTGTAATACGTAATTTTATTAATATAAATCTCGAACAAATTGATTCCAGTGGACAAACGTTTGATTTACTTCTAGTCCTCTAAACATGCATTGTACAATATCAAACAAACTTCTCAACGGTTCTTATATTCTTCCTACCAGATGTATCGGTTTGATATTCTGTATATATTCTACAAATAGGCAATATATGTATAATATTATCTTAAATTTAAATATTGTTGACCAATCGATTACAATAATAAGCTAGTATAAACACAAGGAAACCTCTCGACTTGCTAGTTATGGTTCATAACAAATCAATGATATTTGGTATGATCATTTATAGAGAGATTTGTTTGACACATACATGTACTTTATATATCATGTGACATTATATAAAAAAAACATGGGGATGCGGCATGAGCCATCTATCCACCAATAATAACTACAGGACACCGTGTTGTCTTCAACAAGAAGCAATCCCTCTACCTTGTTATATTACAGTGAGCTATAAAAGGCATCGGTAGTACAACATATGGAACAATTCAGAAGAGAAATACAACGGCCTAAATTAGTAAAACAGTAAACAAAAGCCATTATAACCGACACAACATCGATATAAAGCACAATAAAAACCTAATAAAAAGACAAAAAGCTACAGAGTAACGATCTAATTGGAGTAATCGCACTGAATGAATGTCAGTTCGAAGCCAAATTTCAACTGATAAACAAGGACTAAAATATCAATCAATACACCTCAAAACGGATTTAGCAAACAGACGACATAAGCAGTTCGAGAAAAATCTGATACTGTACTACGGCAAAGTATAATTATCGACAGGATGTAGAACTATAATTGTTAATATTGTTTTCTTTTTTGTTGTTGTCTGTTTATTTTTTAAGTTATACCTTTTTTTCTCGCTCAGTAACTGTCTGAGGTAGATGAACAGTTTTCTAAAAATTATTTATATAGAATTCTAAGGTGAGGTTGTTCATTATTAATTGATTTTTATAAGATTTTATCAGACAATTATATTATAAGTCAGCAGTATCGGGTATGCTTGATATGTTATGTATATCATTGTATTGAAATCCTGTCTAATGAATTATTCGAAAAACTGAAGTTTGTCTTTAGGCAAATATTGCCATAGTCATTTGTGCAAAACTATTCGGATTTTCGATTTTAATGCTCTTCAATTTTGTATTTGATTCCAACTGCTAAATCGTGCTCTACTGATGAGTCATTATGTAGACGGAATTCGCGTATGGCGTCCAAGTTATAAGCCTGACATCTTTGATGATATTTTCATAGATGAATAAAATTGAGAATGGAAATGGGGAATATGTCAAAGAAACAACAACCCGACCAAAGAGCAGACAACAGCTGAAGGCCACCAATGGTTCTTCAACGCAGAAAATCCCCAACCCGGAGGTGGTCCTCAGCTGGCCCCTACCTAAAATTGTGAACTAGTTCAGTGAAAATGGACGTCACACTAAACTCCAAAACATATAAATGAACTAAAATTAAAAAACATACAAGACTAACAAAGACCAGAGGCTTCTGACTTGGGACAGGCGCAAAAATGCGGCGGGGTTAAACATGTTTTGTGAGATCTCAACCCTCCCCCTATACCTCTAGCCAATGTAGAATAAAGAAATTTGCGATTGTTTTCACAATTAAATTAATGTTTATATATCACTGTTAATATGCAAACAAAACTAGAATTTAATATACCTTTTTTCTTTTTAGGTTCGGATTATTATTACCCAAATAACTGGACGTCATGATAAAATGGTGGATCTCGTCACTCTAAGGATTGCATCATTTAACCAAATATTAGATCCATGGGTGTACCTGTTATTCCGGAGAGAAAGCCTCAGAAGGCTCGTTAGACAAATAAGTAAACGTTTGCCAATGTCAAACAAAGAAAGATTGTTTGCACAACTTTTTAGTGCTACAAGCTTTCACAATACTCAAATAGAAGCAGATGAGAATTCTGATAACAGTTTACCTGTTGAAGTCGGTCAGAAAAGTTTGAATTCCTCGGACTCAAAAACGTCAATGAAAACTTTGGAAATCACGGAATTATAAATCACCGTCATGATAATTCGCCATAAATCAATCATGATGTGGGAACTATATAAATTGAAAGAATCAGTTTAATTGCAAAATATGCGAAAGTAAACAGCTTGTTACGCATAAGGCTACTAATGATGTCCATGTTACCACGCAAATAATAAATTTCAACAGTGTGTAGATTAGACTAGTATGGGTTATAACATGCTAATTCCGACTAGCAAATTGTGAAAAAAATAAATAAAATGACATTCAAGGAAAAACACATTTTCTTTACTTGTAGCACCAAACGAAGTCCCAATGCATTGTTTTGTGCTAAATTGTACCACTAACATTAACCCTTAATTTGACAATGCTATAATAATAGCCACTTAGGTTGTTCATTTCATATCAGTACAAACCACTCTACCTACAATACTGATCTCTTCCAGAAGATGGTATCCCCATAGTTATAGAATATGTTCGTACCATAATAAAGAATGAGGGTTTTGTTTAATATGTTATATTTAGAGTCTTGTATGATGATGATGATACACGATGTTGTTTTAATACAAGTAGGTTTTTTCATACAAATTGGAAACATGATCGAATCAAATGATTCGTTCATCAGCCACTAAAAGACCAGCATTTGTAACACCTACAGTAAATATTGAAATGTATAACTCATTTCGGAGTTCTTATTTTTTTAACTTGTTAAAAATAAGTGAAAATAACAATTTATGAATTGTATGTGTCCTATACCCTTTCCAGATTTACTTTCGTCTTGAGCGCTCAAAACCAAATATTTGAAAGCCAAAGATGTATAAGAACCGAACACTTGAAAAAAATATGACCAAAAAGGATCTAAAATTTAAGGCCAAATCCATTTAAGGCCAACTTTGTCTGAGGGAGTTGGAACTTAACAGTGGCGTAGGAGTAGACAAAAAAAAGGGGAGACTTCTGAAAGTTACAAGCAAAAAAGAAAATTAAGAAAATATTTCTATAGTCTACTAGTCTAGAAGGTAGGTAGTGTCCTCTATCATTTTCATTTTTTATTTGCAGTAAAGAGAATTGTAAAAAAAGTGGAGAGGGGGACAAAAACATAATTTGCCCCAGCCTCTTACGCCACTGTTTATTGTCAAATTAAAAAAGCAAAATATGTATTAAGATACAGGTAACCATGTAACAAAAAGTGTCATATAATATCTAAAGACGTGTACGAACAACGATAGTTTCAATTTAATTATTTGAAGCGATCATATTATGTATGTGTTTTTTCAAAATACAATGTAACATATATTTAACATTTAAATGTTGTTTTAAGACAGAAGGGATCCAATAACAAAATTAAATTAAAATGTTAATGATTAATTGAAAACAAAGAGCAAACGGAAACAGATTGGTCAACTAAAGTATTTTAATCATATCTATATCGGTCTGTTATATCCGTCCAGAACAATTTTAAGAGGAAAACGGACTTGTACGCTACTGATTTTAGATGTAAACAGATAAATAAATAATTAAAATAAGAGGGTTGGAAATCTATAGTAATCAATTTTTTTGCGATAGAAATTATCTAATGAAATAATTTTCGAAAGAAAGTAAAACACATAGATGTTTGTTGGTCACATTCGCGTAATTTGGTTTCTGGTGGATACTAGTAATTGTCTCATTGGTAATCATACAACATCTTCTTATTTTTAAATAAGTAAGTAACAGAAATGTCAAACAATCATAAGTAAGAGTACAGATGTCCTAGTCTCGCTTGTCCATTTACATCAAACATTATCAATCGTAAGCTTTGTAATGCTTTTTTTTATCCTGGGGTTCATGTTTTGTTTTTCAATTATTAATGGATTAACATCACGACAAAAAAAAAACCAATATAACGACAGAAAAAAAACTCCAATAGATCCAAACATTCCTTAAATATCACTTTCTGGCTACCTACTGCAAACACCGGTTATAACTGAAATTCATATTTTTATTTCTGGTAAAGATCCATTGGTATCAAGAACAATACATTTTTATAGACATAACTTGTTTTAGACTCGGGACGACTTAGAGCTTGATATTTTGTATAGACACCATTGTATGTACAACGTCAAAACATATACGTATCGACAGGATGTGTACGCAACTGTTAAACAATACATATTAAGTTATGTTTTAAATTTATCAAAACAATTTAGAGATAATATTCAAAGCTCTTGCAAACATGTTAAATTCATAATATTTAAGGATAATTATATTCTAAGGATGAATAGTTTAATGGATCTTATCTAATTTTAGTGGCTCTGACAACAACATCCCTTATTAATCTTTCTATAGGTACAGCTAAACTTTCAAATTAACTATTTGTATCTATAAAAAAAATTAGTAAATGTTTTAACAAAAACACCGAAGATGAAATCATCAGAATACTGGATTTCTTTGATCGACAACATATCTGTTGAGTTTGGTGGAATGATATCTCAGCAGACAGTCGATATTCCAATGGGTACTAATGGTGCACCACTACTGGCCGATTAATTCTTGTACTCATATGAAGCAGAACTCATACAGAACCTTCTCAAAGAATGACAAGCAGATGGTAAAGTTCCTTTATTTGCATTTTCAGATATATTGATGATTTTCATGTCACTCAATATCCTACATTTCAATGAATGCTTACATCTCATATATCTCAGTGAACTTGATATTTAGCATACTGTTCCAACAGTGATATGATGACGAACGACTGAAATTGACACTACATAAGTTTTACGGTTACCATCACGAATTGATTGACAGATACAATGATGTTTTGCTGTCACATCTCACTAGCGACATGTTTCCGCGGTCTTAAATCTATAGATACCAGTATAGTTGTTTGATCTGTAATTTTATTGATTGAACCCTATTCCTTATGGTGATCTTTTGACTGAGTGTCGATTCGCATAATGACGGTTGATCCATGCGTAGAAAGAGATAATTATCCTGTCGACGCACAATTATTTAAAGCAAAAATATCATCAAAGTAATGGTAAAAGTTATAATTTTTTTTCTTTAAAAATGAAATTTAGATGGTACTGAGTTTGGGAATCAATAGGAAAACCCACAATCGGTCTATAAACTTTATAGGTGAAACTTACATAGATGTTGTCAAGGATAAAATTCACAACTTCAATCATCATATCACAATTCAAGAATAAGTATAATTATTTAGTATAAAAACCTGTTTTCATAACAGAAGAAGGCTATACATAAGTTGCATGAAATGCATTTGCTATCAGACTATTCTTAGAACTATACTATTTGATTTACTATGAACGCTTCTGTTTGTAAAGACAGTGCAAATAAACATAATAAATGCTCTGTTCCATTGTGTCTGGTTTGATGAAGTATGTGTAGAGATATTTTGTTATGGTTTAGTATACAATAGCCTTATTTTCGTTTGTTAGGGCAAACGGTGCCTATTCAAATTCTTGGTAGAAAGGAAAAAAGGTAAAAATTAGCGGACATGAAATATTTTTAAACTATTCTCCCCGTCAGTTAACGTAGTCCTAACTTTGTCTTCAACGTCTTATAGGTAAAATATTTCAGATACAGTCAGTAAGGAATATAGAGACGTCATGGAGTAGTGAAATAACCCATTCATTATTTCTGCTTAACTAAAGTATGCATTTGCAATGAAGAGTGGAACATGATTCAAATTTGAGTATTTATCGTTTACCAAATAAAAAAAAAAGATGTAAAGATTAACTGGAATCGTCTATTATAAATGCATAAACTGTATGTCTGATAGGTTTGATAGTTTTTAGTATCTCTAATAGGAATCTGTACTGTTACTATTAAGTCAACTTTTAACATCATCTAACATATATAATGCATTTCTATGAAACAATTATAAATACACTGACTAAAAGAAAACATAGATTATTGAGGGATAGAATTAATGACGTGCAAAATACAATGTTATGACGTATGAAATGTAAATATTGTCATTGATAAATGACTTTAGTTGTGTGTTTTGTTTTGAATAAACATATTAAAGTACCGTTGCAATACTTATTATGAGGTCTTTTTTCGGTGGGAACATTCATATTGGATACAAAATAAGATATTTGCAGTGCGATACATTTAATAATAACATCAATAATTATAATAATAATAATAATAATAATAATAATACTACTACTACTACTACTACTACTACTACTACTACTACTACTATTAATAATAATAATAATAATAAACACACACAAACGTTGAATTTGGCAAAACCCTTCTGAATTTTGGATCCTCAAAGCTCTTCAATTTTGTACCTTTAATCATTTTTGATTGGAGCGTCAGTGATGAGTCTTTGTAGAAGAAATGCGCGTCTGGCACACAAAATTATAAGCCCGGTATTTCTACGAGTTTTTTAAAAATAGAATATTAATAAAATAAAAAAAGGAGAGGCAATAAACACTTTGGTTAATGAAAATCAACAACAAAAAATGGATAAGCCGAACAACACTCCACAAGATATAAATAAAACTATTATACTTATATTTTTTTAGCTTTAATTTGTTCAGAAACTAGTTGCACCGAAATTCATGCAGATTAAAAGTACGACATTGTATTTATTACGTTTACTCGTATTTAATATCTAACTCTTGTTATCTTAAACGGTTAACTCTATGGTGTTTAAGCAATCATTTTAATGATATGTTTTCCCTAAAAAGAGATAGGATTTATAATGATGCAAAAACAAAAGGTTTGTGAATATACTTCTTGTATATCATTTCACCAAATGTTTAAAATTCTCGAATTATTCTGTTTTGATTTGCCTATATAACCATGAAAAATTTTGACTAATATTATATGAGGGTGTAGCGATAGTCCAGATAGCTGTTAATTCCCCAAAATAATTACACAAAACCTCCACTATTTTTTGTACAAGAACGGATCAAACCCTACCGCGTATTTGCAAAAATTCCCTTGCAACAATATCAATTTAATGACAAAGCAATTACTTGAGAACAATTTACAAATTTAATTTCAACGAAAAAACATCACGAATATTCCATAGTATAGAAATTTCATACAATGTAAACGGGCTTAACATGAGAATGAATATAAAAAAAATTGCATGCAGTTTTAAACTTACAAATATTTATGAAAATGCATATCAGAACTCATAGTATAGATATTAATTTGACTGAAATCAGGACAAATGTAATTAAACACTTGCACGGTAATCTTGTTTGAACCTTTTTTGTATTTTTCTGCTGGATTTGTTCATGTAAGAGGAAACAAAAGTACACCATGTCTTTGTTTCAATGAATAAATCAATGTTTCTCTAGTATACCCATGCCAGAAATATTGGTTCTGTATAGTGGAGGTAGAAATTAATTTAGAAATATAAATAGTCCCTTCAACATGTTTATGGTGATTTCAAGAACAATTTTTCGTGACTCCGTTTTATCTATGAAAAGGGTATGGAGTGGAACGATACTGTTTTAAATCTAAACGATTTTTTTTTGTCATAGTATGCAGGTATGAAAATAAGTTTTGTTTGCATACAATTAAGCTTTACTCCTAAAACGTAACATTAAATCTTTTTGTTGATAAATAAAATATGGCAATTCCTAGAATCAACCTTTCTTTTAACCTCGCCTTGTTACATCCGCCAACGAATTAAAAAAACATGATACATTATAGGTCATATCTCCTGAAATGTTACAAAAAAACAAATAAACAATCCTCAAAAAACAAAATCGTCATAGCTCTGTTCTGACAGGTCACTATATATAATATCTGACAATCTTGTATTGTATACGTTTGCTGGAGTTAACGAAAGGTAAATTTTCTTTCTCTTTAATTTTTGTTATCAATTATTTTTTTTTCATTTTATGCTGTTATTAACCTTAACCCTTACAAAATATTTTGCTGAAACTTTTTAATATCTATATTATTTTTAGCTAATTTAGAAAGACACACCAAACAGGATAAATTCTTTATCTAGAGAGACTTGTTAAAACGCATGTAAAATTCCGCGCATGTTTCATTACATGAGCTTAATTTGAAAAATATTTGAAGATTTTATGAGATTAAAAGTTTACCAAAGTTTATGTGCGTCAAAACATCTAAATGTTAAAAAAGTCTATGGAATAATACAAGATCTTACCAATTACACTAACATGAGCAAATTAACGTTCGGTTTGAAAGTTTCAGTTCATAATTTTTACCATAGCCTTAATAGGTGTAAAATTCTGCAGATACAAATAATTCATTCGCTGCAAGACGAATTACTAATGCAGTTATATGTTTACATATATTATGTATAATAATAGAATAAAACCACTTATTCTTAGCCCCATTTCTTTCTATTTTATATTCTGCAATATCAAGTTTTCATAGCTATTGTGTCTTAATTTCAAATATAATGACAGTCATTTCATGTATAAACTGTAACTTATCCTGGTTTGTGTTGAAAAAGTTAACATTACATTACCTTTAATTGCATAGAAGAGTGCACTGGTTCGCGGAAGTTAGGTAGTACTAAACAGGTACGTCCGATCTGAGCAACAGTCAGAATATGCCCTCCTATTTCAATTTCATATATTTTTATTTTTATTTTAACGGATCTTTCAACAAGGCTTCTACAGTAATCCCTAGTCATTAAGGTTTCATTTAATACCAAAAATTAACCAAGTAGCTTTCTTACTTACATAGTAACAGTTATGCGTAGGAACTATTTTGCTTAGAACTTTTTTGTATACTAGTATTCCTTTCTGACCAGGCCCGAATTAATGGTTCTATTGCTGAAGTTTTGTTCTCAAAGCTTTACCTTTAGGATGAAGAGTTATATTATTTCAAACATTATTTTCGATTATCTGTAAATATATGTATACGAACGTTTTGCTTTTTTTTTTTTATAAATTTCATCGAAATGAGAACTATCGCGCTTCAAAGTAAATGTAATTCGACAAATAAATTTGAAAAAAAAACAGCATTCAATTCTTTATGACACGTTTAGCCAAAAATGCATAATATCTAATGAATGAAGCAAAGATCATACAAAACTATGGTCATGACCATACGCGTATGGTCCAGATACTCATAGGGTCCAACACACATGGACAAACATGTAGTTTAAACTAACCTTTAAATATATGGATGAGTGAGATTTAGAGCATGACGTATTGTGTAGACACATGTAAGCTAGCGCTCGTTGTCAATCGTTTGATACCGTATAAAACTGTAAAGTGTAATTTATTATTAAATGATATCCTGTTTGAATGAATTCTGCATTTCATGTAAATACTAAATTACTTGGTCATGGGCCGATATGTTACCTTAGTAAACAGACAGTCCGGCATCACTAGGTTTGACTATACTAATTCATACGTATGCTACCGATACAAGTACAATAGAAAAACATCCAGTGATCATTTAAGTCATAGGAAACTTATTTGATATATTCAAATGTATATATTCTGTATTGTAGATAGTTAAAAATTGAAAACAACGTAGTAAATGACGATGGCCATAATAACCCTTCAAGGACTTTTGATCTTAGGAGTGATTATTGTATATGGTGAGTTTACAAACTGTAAAGATATATTGCTTTTTATATTTTTTACCAAATAGAATATATTTTCCCCAAATTTACCTCTGACTAGAGTGCTCCTGATGAAGGTAAATCCAAAAGAGCGCCTCGGACGCATCAAATTCATAAAGTGTTGTTTTCAATATTTTCGATATCTCTTTATGTAAGCCGATGAAAAATCTGTATAGAATTGTCTTTTGCAATAACTGATGCGTCTTATATAGTAAACTATCACATTTTTTTGTTTAATATCTAATGTGTCTTTTTATTAATTTGATAGATCTGTGTGACGTTACCTCCTACAGGTAAAATTGTTTTTTGTTTCCTAAGATATTGGTTTATTTTATTTCGTCTTAAAAAAACGACGGCCCCTAAGACGTTGATATACCAATAATAATTATTATGTCATTACAATATGATGAATGTATTTTTTTCACATTCCAGTCTCTGCCGATGTCATTGTTTGTGAAGATAAATTAGCATACATTAAATGTTCATATCCGTCTAAGATTGAAGTATCAAGCGCAATATATGGACGTACTACAGATAGAAGCATATGCCCTCATCCTGCTATACATACAACTGATTGCAGATCATCGACTTCTGACAATAAAGTAAAATCAATGTGCAATGGTAAAAGAATTTGTCGAGTAAAAGCTGACCATAGACAGTTTGGTGATCCCTGCGGAGGAACATACAAATATTTAGAAGTTAAATATAAATGTGTTTGATTCTGTGTATGAAGAAAAATAGTACATTGAAAAACGAATGTAAAAGAATGTGTGAAAGTTTGTGTTTTTTAATTTCTGGTTTCATTTTACAATACTCAGTAAATTTATTATGCTTGCATATGTCACAAGTAAGTTAGATTTGTATGAACATTGTATGTATCAATAAACTCACCAAAGATACCAGGTTTAAAAATTTGTTCACCAGCTAAAGTAATCTATTCCTGTGGTAGAAAATCCATAGTATTGTAACAAAAACCGAGCGGTCGGGACTTAGTGTAATGCTATAAGAATATGTTTTTGTAATAGCAGTCATAAATAGAGAATAGAAGTGTACATTCAGTAATTCTTTCTTTGGTAGCGTGGAACCCTGGTATTCTGTATACACCCTGGTAAGGTTTGCTCCTCTGGTAAGGTATTGAATCCAATATAAAAAGGTAGATTGGAGTATAGGTTTTTGGTCCGTGATAGCGTGGTTTTGTATGGTAACTCTCCGTATCGATGTTTGTAAGAAAAACAGACTCGTTAAATAAAATGAACTGATATTAACTTTAATATGCATTAAATATTCACAATACATATATATTTTAGATAACTTAAAAGTGTTCAATTATAATAAATAGACATTTTATCGACCTTCTATCATGAATTAAAGAAAATGAATAGCGGAAAAATATACACATAAAGTTTACTAATTGTAATTTAGTAATCGGCAAATGGCATAATTCAATACTAAAAAAAATCGTTTTAAAGTTTCTCTCCCGAAGTTATTCTCTACGTGTAACTTGTAAAGGAATTAACAAACCCACATTATACGGACTTGGTCTCCTCGGACATGGAAATATGTCGTATACCTGGTAACTGGTATCTATACTTAGTCTTAGATGCATGATTTTTTTTATTAGTTGTTAGTGGCTTTGAACTAGCTGTCAGTAAGTGTCTTTTTGTTGTTTGGATGTACACGTCCACTTGTAAATGTAGTATTTGTATTTTTATCCATCTGATGAGTTACGCCTCTTTCAACTGATTTTTAAAGTTCGTGTAATTCAGTGGTTGTCGTTTGTTTATGTGTTACATATTTGTTTTTCGTTCATTTAATGTACATAAATTAGGCCGTTAGTTTTCTCGTTTGAATTTGTTTTACATTGTCATTTCGGGGCCTTTTATAGCTGACTGTGCGGTATGGGCTTTGCTCATTGTTGAAGGCCATACGGTGACCCATAGATGTTAATATCTGTGTCATTTGGTCTCTTGTGAAGAGTTGTCTCATTGGCAATCTTACCACATCTTCTTTTTTATATTATATTACAATCGCATGGAATTAGCGAGTGTTACTTGCCCAGGGTAAAATCGTGCTAAAGACTTATCTGTATTCTCCGCCGTATTTATACTTAGGTAAACCAATTTACCGATTTGGTTTACCATTTACCATTTAGGAAAATACCTAAATTACCAAAACCGGAACTGGTTATTACCCAAAATAGGTAACATGTCATTGTACTTCAATTGAAATAAACAATTCAGAGGTGTTCCGAATGTAAAAACAAAGGTAAGGATAATAAAAAGTTTTAGATTTAACAATGTTTAAACATAGTTATACAAGAAATATATAATAACAAAAGTCATTTATCGGTACAATTAAAACAACGTCATCACACAATTTTAGGGGAAACAAGTTCCATTTCAGGGAACCGAAATTTCGTCACAGTATTTCGAAAAATTCAACAGTTTATGATAATCATGACCATATCAATGATAACTCATGTCGACACAGGAGTTCTGACTTCTGGGCTGGTGATACATGCTGTTCATGATTGGTAACATATTTTTGGCAATCAGCAAAATGAATTAATTATTGTTATCAAAAATTATTACCGGTGATGTTCAATATTATGACTATAGTCAATAGTATTGTATGTCCAGCAAAAAAAAATGTATTCTGTTACAAAATCGAACCGATTTAATGAAAAGATGACTTAGTGAGACGAGGAGCAACTCTATCTGCAATACAAACATTATTTGCATGTAATTAAAGCATTAGTATAGCACACAGTATACTTTGATAATATTAAATAAGATTATTATTGTCTGGGCTATTATTTTAAGGTCCTTTTTGGTCATCTAGCGCTTCAACTATGGTTAATATACATCTTTGGTTTTCAAATATTCGGCTTTGGACGTTCTTGATGATGTTAATCCCAGAAAAGCGCCTCGGATGCTTAAAATTTATATTATTATATTATTTATTAACTTTTGTTTTCTTTTTTACACATGTAACATTGCTATGGTACGTATTGTGCTGCTCATTCTTAATTACTTCTGATTTTTGTTGTACCTTTGATATATTCCGCCCCATTTTGACGCTGAATTACAGCAAAAAAAAAAGCTAAATAAGCATATTGATTATTCAATGTTTTCTTGGATTAGATATACAATATATAACACTTTTTAGAGTAAGATACAGTTTTTTTTTAGAGTAAGATACAGTTTTGAGGGATTGAATGAAAAAAGGTTTAAAAAGGTTTCTGCATATTTTGTTGAATTCTAAAATACAGCCAAAAGTTATAAAAACGAGATTATATAAAAAAGAAGATGTGGTTTGATTGCCAATGAGACAACTCTCCACAAGAGACCAAATGACACAGAAATTAACAACTATAGGTCACCGTACGGCCTTCAACAATGAGCAAAGCCCATACCGCACAGTCAGCTATAAAAGTCCCCGAAATGACAATGTAAAACAATTCAAACGAGAAAACTAACGGCCTAATTTATGTATAAAAAATGAACGAAAAACAAATATGTAACACATAAACAAACGACAACCACTGAATTACAGGCTCCTGACTTGGGACAGGCACATACATACAGAATGTGGCGGGGTTAAACATGTACGAGGGATCCCAACCCTCCCCCTAACCTGGGACAGTGGTGTAACAGTACAACATAAGAACGATTAGATCATTTTATTGTATTGTCGTTTTAATGATGTCACAGAACTACATTGCTCAATAAAGCAAGCCGATATTGCTTTCAGTTCGAAAATAAATATTAATCATAAAGGAGTTTAACTTACAAATTGCAATTGTTTTACATTTTATGTGACCAGTCACAGGAACTTTTATAATGACTGAATGTATTCGATCATTTCGTTTAGCAATCGTACTACAATGTCAATACAGTGAAACGAGATTCTTGTCGAATAACAGTGGTGTGGAATGAACATTTGGCATAGATGTTAACGCAAATAATACTGTCCGAATGTAAACAAAAATCAACCATATTGCAGATTGAACTGAAGTGTTATCTTGTTGAAAAACGAAAACAAAAGTATCCATCTCTATGGGATCTTAGTACTATCTCATGAAGTGTTTCAAATATATCTGATCAGTTAAAAATATAAATTAAATGGGTATCCTCTCTTAGTTTCACTCACATTTTCATAAGTTAAGGGTTAAGAGCATAAAAGTTTAATGACTTTTTTTCCCGAATCAGTTTGAGATCAACTTATCCATGTTGTATGCAAAATTTTAATCTGTGACATTTACTGTTCCTTGACTTTTAACTCTTTTCAACAGACGTTAAAATGTAGCAGGTGCGTTTTTGTGCTCAAAACTTTATATTGATCTTAACCAGTAGGAGTTGCAAAATCGTAATTTTCTTCAAGTCTATCCTTGAAGTCAATTTGTCAATAACCTGTCAACAAGTGGAAATTTCTTAAAATGTTTGCACTGATTATTGTGTAAATACAGTCGTTAATTCTTAGTATGAGAAAAATAGGTTTTAGTGACAGGTTCCATTATTGTATCTAAATTCAAAAAAATATTATTTTCCTACGTCCTTTTTTTTCAACGACTTATTTCATATGATCTTATTTTAATGAGCCAGGGTTTTGACAACGAACGTCTCGTCCTTTTTCTAAAAAAAATCATAGGAAAGTACCAAGACGTAATAGATAAATATTCAGTGTCTACATCACAAATTACACAAGATGGTCTTTAAATATAGATTTTAGGTGCTAAAAGTGTGTATCTTTTAACTTACTTTACAGTTTTCTCATTATTTGTCGTCGTGCTATTATATTTATTTCGGTAGTATGCCTTTTGACGTGACTCGGAATTTATGCATCCCGCTATCGGGTTTTTGACATTGGCCATTTCTGGTGCAGGTTGTGACGGAATAAAAGCTTCACCATAATATTTGTTCCAAAGAACTTTTGTTACATAACAAGAGTTCCATTGGGAACTTTCAACATATAATATTTTAGCCATTGCCATAAGAAAATTTCCTACACATTGGATAAAAATATTATATAATGAAAGTTCCTATTGGAACTTTTGATATATCATAAACGATCTTTGGAACAAATATTATGTTAACACTTTGCAATAGCAACACACATGGGTTCCTACCACACTGTGAGAGAAACAATGACATAGGAATATCAAAATTACAAACAATTTAATTATGAAATTGCAAATATTTATATTTGTGACAAGATATTTCAAGATATACAAAATATTTACTAATCACTTTTTGAATTATAGGGAAATATTCAAAAATGTTTCGACGAACTTATTTCGAATAAGCAAAGAATAGTAATTATGTCAGAAAAGTTTCTGGAATAATAATGATATAAAGGAGATTCGAGGAATATAATTTTTATGTAAATGAAGGTCCTAGAAATATAATTATGTAATAGAAATTCCATGTTGAAATTTCTTAAAATGTTTGCATTGAAAATTGTGTCAATACAGTCGTTAATTCTTGGTATGAGAAAAAAAGTTTTAGTGACTGCAGGTACCATTGGAAATTTAAAAAATTAAATTAGAGTTTATACATATTTTGATAAATTCCTAGGGTATGTACTTTCCCTGTTTTTATTTTCTTAATGATAAGGTCAGCTTGTCAGCTTGACAGCTTGGCAGTTTTGTTTTAATTAAGAGATTAAGGAATAGGTGTTAGATCATAGATAGGAAACAGCATGATGACAGCAT